AAGTAGGTTCCCCCAGAAAATAGCCGGGAGTTCTCTTGGCTGCGGGCCCCTGGCGAGGTCCAAGGGAAACGCCCAGTGGGGACCTGGGGGCGTCCACGGAAGCTTCAGGATTTTAACTGTTTCAAAGGGATGAATTCAAAAACTTCTGCACTAAAATGTCAGACGTTCATATTTAGATAATACTTGACATAACAGTTGATTCATTTTGAACACGAGTTGCAGGGGGCCAGCGTTCTCAACAACTGGGTAACTTGGAGTCTTACTGTTTGTTTGTTTACAAGGAATGTCCTCGAAAGTTGAGGAGTAGGGGGCAGAAGTTGGGTCGCGCCCCCTCCATTCTAGGGTGGGGGCGGTCGTCTCCCCAACCCCGTTTACCAACGCCTATGCGTATATGTGTGTGTGTGTGTGTGTGTGTGTGGTGTGTGTGTGTGTGTGTGTGTGTGTGTGTGTGTGTGTGTGTGTGTGTTGTGTGTGTGCGCGCGCGCGTGTATGTGTGTAGAGATTTTATATATATATATATATATATATATATATATAATAATATATATATATGTATGTATATATACATATATATAATATATAATATATATATATATATATATATATATATATATATATATACACACACACATATAAATGTGTGTGCGTGTGTATGTCTATATTTATTTGTATTTACATAGAAGCACACACATATATATGCAGCGTGTACACAATTGCTTAATTAACAAAATACCAATTCCCGCAGACAGGTCTGACCGTTGCACCCGTAGTGTAACCCACAACTCTTTCCAGCCCTTCCCCCTCCGCACTCCAACTCCTTTGCCCCCACCATCGGCCCAAAGTCCCCAACATAGCCGCTCTCCTCCCCAACACGCCATAAATCCCCGCACTGTATGTCAAGGGGCAAACGACGGGCGTCATACACTCCATTCGTTCGCTCGGCTGAAGGATGTTTTGTTTTTGTAAGCGTTCTCCTACACGCGATGGCGCTCGGGAATTGCTGCCTTGGGGTGGAATTTGGTGATGGATTGGTGTGGTATTGCTAGCTGTAGTTGCGTTATTTACTTTCATCATCGTTATTGCACCATTTTTAAAAGATTAGTGATACCATTAACATTATTATTGCCACATGTTATGTGTTATTTTAGCTACTTTTTTTCTTCATTATTATCAACGATGTTGCCGATACTGTTATTATTGATGTCGATATATCATCTCTCATTATCCTTATTCTTATCCCTTTCATTATAAAACAGAGGAGCAGCCATTTATATATATATATATATATATATATATATATATATATATATATATATATATATATATATATATGTATGTATGTATGTATGTATGTATATATATATTTTTTTTTTTTATTCAGATCCACAATCTTCGTCTTTACTTCCAATTATTTTCTACATTTATTAACACTTACGATATTATCAATTGCCATTACTTTAATTTCTTCTTGTCGATATCAGGACCAAATACACAAAGTAGCTTCCCAAATCCTGTTACACATTTAACGAAGAAACCATGCTCCACTTGGCCTGCACTCCACAACAAAACGGTAATGACAACCGCTCCCTGTCACTCGCGGAAACGAGTGCTCCAATAGCACATTAGGTGTCACGTGCGTATGGCTAGGTTTTGCATGGCACACCCCGAGTACAAGGCCGATGGGATGAATTTTGGTGTACGTGTGTGTGTTCGAACCAGTCTGCCTGAGCGTGTTTCACAATCTGCGCGGACGTTTCAATGGCGCATTTGCAATAGTAACGATAATTCTTTAAAAAATGTCAAATGTTTCTTTCATGTTATGTTCACGGTCTTTGGACAACTTACAAGAGGGTTTTGTAACACCCTTTTATCGGCTCTCTTGATGATATGCATTGCTGACATGAATTTCAATTGCTTGCTCATATGTTAATCCTACTGATTGGCGAACAAAACCTTGTCACAGCTGACGTGAGGCTTATCCTCCTAACGCGGTTGCAGCTCCGGCATCACCCTTATGGGAATTATTTTCCTGTTTTTCTGATTTTTCGAAGCGGTTGAAACCACCGTCCGATGCTCAACACATTGCTTTAGTTTCAAATTCTAGGCAAATATGTCGGCCCCCAGATGCTAAGGACTTGTTCCTATCCTTCTCAACTTACTTTACAGATTAATTAATCTAGATGGTGGTACATCATGCTGCGTTCATGTATAAGAAAAGCAAATGTTCGATTTTTGTTTTTTTCAGTTGCCTGAATAAGAATCATCCATCAACGGCACTGACTTCCATTCATCTTCGTGTGCCTGAGGCCTTCCGAATGCTTCTCAGAGGACGCCTTTTGCTCCTTGTTGATGTATTTCCCGAGCATCAGAGTGACCACTTCAGGTCCAGCCGGTCTGCTGCCAGGTTGTCGCTGATAGGAAATAGTCATGCGGTTAGAGCATCAAGATTTTTCCACAAACAACGTATCGAAACCACAGTAGTTTTCGTCGATGCTTTTCGTATATATTAGGATTGGGTGGCGTTTAGGCCTTTATACATTACCGTTTTCTTTGAGGTGCATCATGTTTACATTAAGAAAGAGGGAACTTTGCAGTCAGAATTGTCTGACGGCGTTCCTGTTGCTGCTGGCACTCCCCTCCCTCACCAGGTCACTCAACTGGATCTTGGTTAACCGCTTTGTGCGCCGTTTCTGGGCCAGCCTTGGTTGCACGGTCAGAGCTTCTTTGGCAGAAGAGTTCTGGGACGACCTTCAGAGGCTAGGCGCTCGAGATGCTATTGAGGTGTCCTCAATGTGATTTACACAGGAGTCATCTCTCGTCTTCCACCCTTAGCAGTCTCACATCTCGACGGCTCAGAAGGGTTTTCTGAAAACCACTTTACATTTTTTCCTTTCTTTCTTTGCGTTTAAGTCCCTTCATGTCAAATTCTCGACCACCTGCCTCGCCGCGTTTTCTGTTCCTGCATCCTGTCTGCCTGCTGTCAAAATGTTTTGCGACATAGCTATGCATCTTTATTCAGATATCTACTGTCAAATCAGCTGGGTTGATCTGGTCCATACAATGCATTGCATAGAAGTCGAACTTGATATTTTTTTATTTGGAGGTTTTGGGTACGGTGCCAAAGTTGGTATAATTTGGAAACGTTAGAGAATGATAACTTGATAATTCGTATATATATATTTTTTAAACTAAACTAAAATTGAAGAATGAGCCCTTCAGATCCACAGACGAGACGAGACCAATTATAGGCCAACACATATAACAATAGTCTCTACTCTTCAGTTTTATATGTTCTTACTGCACGTATTGAAACAACAACAATTGAATACAATTATTTCTACTTACAGAAAGGCATCCACTGGCACATCTAAGCCAAAATACAATATATAATTCAAAATATGTATCCAGAGCCATTATAGGATATCCTATTTTTACAATAACTCATTAAATAGTGCACTATACCACATTTTAATGGTACCGATTCACCATTTCCTTGTTTTCTGACTAGTGTAAGCCGAGACCTGCATCAGTGCTGTCAGTTCCTACAAATGGTTGCGCAAACTCAGGCCTAGCAGGTCTAGTTGGGCGTGGGAGCATGTGCGTCGACTCAGTGCAGACGCTACCATCGCGGAGCAAACTTCTTCGGCGATATAGAACATGACAGGCATCATAGAAAGCGAGATTATAGAACTGCTGGATCGCACTTAACCTTGCTTGTTGAAAGTTAAAAGCAAAGAGTGCTTAGAGGATTTGATAGAACAACAGGAAGATAGATAGACAGAGAGAGAGACAGACAGACAGAAAGAGAGAGAGAGAGAGAATATTTTGTTGATACCGATTAATTCCGAAGGAAAAGTCAAAACACGATTCTGACAGGCTATGAAATTGTTATTATATGTGTATATATTAAATATATATATATACCTATATATGTATGTATATATATACATACATATATATACATACATACACACACACACACACACACACACACACACACACACACACACACACACACACACACACACCACACACACACACACACACATATATATATATATATATATATATATATATATATATATATATATATATATATATATATATATATACACGCACACATATATCCTTTTGATGCGTGTAAGCCGCTGCAAAAATTAGGGCAAGTAGGTACATGACATTTTCACCCGGTGCCGTCGCCTCCTCTCACAGGAAGACGACGGCGAAACTGAGCCGTGCATGGTCAAGTCCAAGGTCTATATAAGTACTTATATAGACCTTGGTCAAGTATGGGATTGAGCAGTTGAGTTGGGGGTGTTTGTGGTCCTAATGATAATTTAGCGTTAACGATGCATATAAAATAAAAATATTTTTCATATACAACAATCACAGCAATAAAATTTACCCTAGACGTTCAACTCACTTCTCAATATCCCACACATTTTCAGCAAACAAAAAGGTTCAGAGAACTGACTTATTAGTTCATTTTTGATGCAGTGTCATATAGAGATGATATATGCCGACCTAGGGAAAGTGGAACCTAAAACATATAGAGATATTATTTTCTGGGCCTTCCAAAGAGAACCGCTAGGGAAGTATTAATTATTTGATTACTGAGGAATATCATGAAAAAGTAAATTGCTCCTTGTCGTTAGTAGCTTTTCAGCATGTGTCATGACATGATAAGCGTTTCTTTTTTTCTTTCAATTCACATGACCTCATCGGGATATGTAGAATATATCACTGCTTGCCACGAGTTACAGGACAATACGATAATGACGACTCGCCCACATAGCCTACATATGAGATATAAAGATAAGATCGCATCGTAAGTTGCCGAATGTTTATATATTGTTTCCACACGTTAATATCTCTGCCGAGTAAGTATTCCAGATCAGCAGGGTATTTATCAAGAAAAACTATCTAAAAACAAATTCTTAAACAACCAAAGCGCTTTCAGTATCCGCGTTTTACCATCACCTCCTAACGTATGGCGATTTCTGGCAATCTCACGACCTTCTGCCATATACACAAACCGTAGCACACTGAGCTATCGACTAGTGTGACTCACATACCCACGAGATTGGTTGTAGGATAGTGAAGGATTAGTGAATCACCGGGCAGTTTTCTCACATAAATAAAACAGGTAAAATTCATCAATTTACTGTTTAGGCAACCATATGTTAACCTTTTGACACGTGGAAAAAAATGTATCAAATACCGATTATATAAATAGGAAATTTACTCTTTCTCATTACGAAACTCACGTATCATGTACGTGGATATCACATATTTATTTGAATATACTGTTGATCATATTTTAATCTTGGTCCAACTGAACATGCAAGAAAAGTTACCTGTGTTGTGTTTCAGAAGTCATGAGTGTCACGTCAACAGATTCGCTCAAGACCTGGGAATCTGCTTTCATTGCTTATCTCCGAGATTCAAATTACCAGAACACACATCTCAAGGAAAACAACATCAAGAACATCTACAATCTGTTATTTGTTTATGAGTGCCGCGACAAAAATATGGGTGAGCCTCCCCATATAGAAGAGCTAATTATGTTTATGATAGAAAATGGGAGTTTATCACGTGACAATGATGTGTATAGACTACGCTAAAAAAAACATGGTGTATGAACTAATTCATTGAATTAATTGTACTGGTGAGTCGTTTGTCAATGTATATTAGACAAGATTTTAGAATCATCTAATTCTGAGTATTTATATCCAATGCGTCATCCACGACCGTGTGGGTTGCTAGATTGCTATTATAACCATATTTTTTTCTTCAGTATCGCCGAGAGGGCCATTAGGCTCTCAATATTTGTGGCTGTATATATTATATTACTAGATACTTGCCAGGGTCCGAACAATTGACTAAAATTATTTGTCTAGCTTACTAACGATCTGAATAACTAAATTACCATTTTAATTTCGTAAAAGCGGGCCCAGCATTGTTTTTTCTTCTTTAAACTTAACATCTTTATAATTTACGTGTAAATAGTAAACTCATTTGCTTGATACAAGGGAAGTTGAAATATCTTTGTTTTAAGTATTAGATGAAAAGTTGGTAGAAAAAGAGACCTAAGCGATATCATTAGTGATTTCCGTATTGGAAAGCACGTACTGCTATCATATATGAGTACTAGCAGAGTTCATCTCAAACACCATCAAGGCCCACGAAGTACGAACGAAAATATTTTCTTTGAGAAGGAAAGATATATAGGCCCAACACTCTTGAATTGCTCTCGATTCCCCTAAGTTTCTGTAGTTGTTAAGCTTTGGAATGCATTGTCAGCACTGCTAAATCATATATACGAGACCTGTCAGTAGTATGATTTTTTTTCTTTTATGTGAACTGCAGTCTTTAGTGTAGCATTTACAATTAAGAAATATCAATAAAAATATTTTCAAATATCGTATATAGTGTTTTTAATAATTTTATATGTTTGTATCCATCTGATCCCCCCCCCCACCAAGTACCCGTAATTATTTGAAATAAACGCATAGGACTCCCTGTTAATTGACAATATTTTTAAACGTTTAAATTTTGCCATTTTACGTTCGGTACTTGTAAGATCATATAAATAAATATTAATTAGCTCCTAATTTTAATTCCCCTGGTTTAGATATATATATTTGCATATAGATATCTGCATTAAGATATATATCTGCACAATAGATATGTGCACTAATAAAATTCCACATACGCCATGGTATCCTAACAAACCCAAAAGGAAAATACGGGAGTGTAAAATACAAATAAATGGCACACACAAAAGTTGCGATGTGGATACTGACGACACGACACTGTCTAGTGCAAATTCAGTACAAAAAAGGAAAATATACAATTGCCATTTTACAGATATACATGACTATTCCCGCACTTGAAACAATATATATATATATATATATATATATATATATATATATATATATATATATATGTATGTATGTATGTATGTATGTATACATGTGTATGTATATATGTATGCATACACACTTACATACACATTTATACATATATACATACATACATACACTTGATTATATACATATATCCATATATACATGCATATATACACATATATATACACATACATATAAACACATATATATACGTATATATATATATTAATTTGTACATACATATACATATATACATACATATATATACATATATACATACACATATATACATATATACACATATATACACATATTATACATATATACACATACATATATACATACATACATATATACATACACATACACACATATATACATACACATACACACATATATACATACATACACGCATACACATATATACATACACACATGTACATATACACATACACACATACATACATACATACACACATGTACATACATACACACACATTTGCACACACACATTTAGAGAGAGAGAGAGAGAGAGAGAGAGAGAGAAGAGAGAGAGAGAGAGAGAGAGAGAGAGAGAGAGAGAGAGAGAGAGAGAGAGAGAGAGAGAGAGAGAGAGAGAGAGAGAGAGAGAGAGAGAGAGAGAGGGGGGGGGGCAGTGTTTGGCACGATCGCCAAGACAGGGAGGGATTGTCCGTCACTGTAAACATTTGGGAGGTCATGTCTTGGCAATATTGATGGAGGTCTTACGGCAACATCTGTGTCGCGCTGTAATGATACTGCATCATAGTCCACGAGGCAGACCAGGGTGTTTCCTCCATAATCTGACCAATCATTGTCGTAGACAGGGTAGTTTGTTTGGGAGATGGAGACAGTGTTGGTACAAATATTGAGGGAGAAATGAGATGGGGCAGGAATGGGTTTGTCAGGGAAGTCGGCCATGGTCGATAATGCTGAAGCTTGGGATTCGGATGTAAGTGTGACAAGGCGAGAACGACCGGGAAATTTTGCCAACTTATTTCTGAAGACATTGTTGGAAGCAGTGTAGTCAGAGCAAGGGGCTATAGAGGGGATAATAAAAAACGATCCCATTTGGCTGGGCTAAACAGAATACTCAATAAAGTTTGTAGAGGTGGGGGGTAGTAGAAGGACGGGGCCTTCAGCGAAGAAATACTGCAAAGAGATGGATAAGGCTGCAGTGTAGTAATAAGGGAGGAGGGGGTAGTACATGAAGAAAGCTGTGGGGTGGAGGAGATGAAGTAGAGGATGTTGGAAGCAGAGGAATGTTTCCTGTGTGGATGATCTAAACTGGACTGAGGTGATAATAGGCATTTAGCAGGGGGTAGTATTAGTGTTCAGTCATAGTCAAAGGAAAGCCTGGGGTCAGGGAACCCGGGGAATTAAAATTAGCAGAGCAAATTAATATCTATTTATTTTTCGAAGATTTTCTGCCGCATCAACTAAGGTCATTAGTGGCGTATTCAAAATAGAGCGATGAGGTGAAGCTTGGGTGAGGAAGTTTTTAGGTTCATAATGCAATGTTTATGGGCTCCCAGAATGTTTAATGGTCAAAACAAATAAATTTGCCGGATATCAAAGGTCATACAGTATTATGGTAAAGTATTGAGGAGAAAATGTAAAAAAAAGTTAACGATTAGGAAAAATGTTAGATGTCAAAGGTTGTAGTGCTGTAGTTTATGATGGTAGGGAAAGGGGTAATGGATAAAGAGAAAATGGAGTACGAAGGCAGTTCAGGGCTGACACAAAGCCAGCCTTTCTTCATTTTAGCCCGGCTCTTACACTTTTGGACGTGGACAGAATGGTTAATAGTTAATGGTTAAAAAGCAAAATAAATGTGCTAGACATCTAAGCACTATAAGAAAGTATATTAAAGGAGGGGTGAAGGGTGATAGTTGCTATGCGTCAACTATCTAGAGTAGTTTTGAAAAGTTAAAGATGGGTAAAGGAGTTGATGTGTGATTGGGTTCCGTTGGGTCTAGGTAAGGGAATTACATAAGGGTTTCACGTGTGTATCCAGGATGGAGTGGAAATGATAGAGGGGATGGAGGGAGAGAGAATGTACGTGTAGTTGGAGTTGAGGGGAGTGGGTTATGCTGGGAGGGAGTCAGAGGAAGTGGTGTAGGGGTACAAGTAAGAAGAGGATGAGTGTCGGGAGGATGGATATCGGAAGTAGTTGGAGTTGAGGGGGATGGGTTGTGTTGGGAGGGAGTAGGAGGAAGGGAAGTAGGGGAAATATGAGCAGGAGGAGGATGGATATCGGCATTAGACGGAGTTGAGGGGTTGTGCTGGGTGGGAGTAGGAGGAAGTGGTGTAGGGGGGGGATACGAGTAGGAGGAGGATGGATATCGGCAGTCACTTCGAGTGTGGAGGGAGCATGAGTTGTGGAAATCTGTCTCAAGCATATACCTTTGAATATATTCTATGGTTTCTCCAGTGGAGTTGGTTGGAGAGCCTTGAGACAAAGGTTTTCTTATGAGGAGGGAAAGAGGAGCATGGTGTCTGAGGAATAAAGGTAAAGGTAGGTGGAGGTGAGTGCGTGGAAGGAGAAGTAGAGGTGGAACGTTGTCTGTCTGCTGCGGGTAGTGCGGAGAGGAAGAGGGGACGGTGTTTGGGCAGTAGTTGAGATTGGAGTGTCTGGATTTAGCGTGGCAAAAGAATTTGACAGGGGAAGGTAGGAGGTTGAAGTGGAAGTGGGAAAGTAAGTAGATATAGGGGAGGGTGTAGGAATATCCTGGGTTGGAGGGGGAGGGGCAGAGCAAGCGACATTACTATAGTGAGTATGAGAGAAACCTAGTCGGCGTGCTTCCTGTCTGGCTTCACGTAGAGTGAGTTTTTGTATCTGACAGTTGCTACCTCAGACTCAAACTTGTAAGTGGAACAGCCTCTATAAAATACATTATGGGGGCCACCGCAGTTAGCACATATGCGTGTTTGTGCAGGGCAGTTTGATTGGTTATGACCGGGTTGGGTACATAGGAGGCATCGGTCTGTGGAACAGCAGTGTTAGGCAGGATGTCCAAAACGCTAACAGTTTTGACATTGACGGGGAGGAGATTGGTATGGTCTAACAGGGAGAGATTGTCCACCAATGTAGATAGAAAGGGAAGGTCATGTATACAGAAAGTAACTTTAGCAATGTTGGTGGGTTTCTTTCGATGACCTTTAGTAGGAATGGAGTAGCATTGTACTGATATCTCATCACGGTCTTTGAAGCAGCTGAATTACTCTCCACAATCTGACCAATCGATATCCATAGGGCAGCTTGCTGGAGAGATAGAGACAGTTCCATACAAGTATTAAGAATTAGATGAGGTTCTGCAGGAATGGGGTTGCCAGAAAAATCAGTTAGATTTGATAATGCTATAGCTTCAGTTTCAGATGTAACTAACGAGACGGGAACGATCCCGTCTACTTGGAGACATTGTTGAAAGAGGAGTGTTGCCTGTGTAAGCTGTAGGGGGGATCACGAAAAATCGGTCCCATTTGGTTGGGCTAAATAGAGTATTTAGGATATTGGTAGAGTTGTGGGTGGTAGAAGGACGGGGACGTGTGTTAATGGTTAATGGTTAAAAGCGAAATAAATGTGCTAGACATCTAAGGTCATATAGCACTATAGGAGGGTATAGTAAAGGGTAATGTCAGGTGATAGTTCCTATGCGTCAACTATCTAGAGTAATGTTGGAAAGTTGAAGTTGGGTAAGGGTGTTGATGAGGGAAAGGGTTATGGTGGTTTAGGTAAGGGAATTAGATCAAGTGAAGACGGGGACGTGTGGAAGAGGGAGTATTGTTGAGGGGGATAGTATTACGGAGAGATGGAGAATAAGGCTGTAAGGTAGTAATAAGGGAAGATGCGGTGATTGGTGAAGGAGACTGTGGGGGTAGAGTTGATAAAGTTGAAGAAGTTGGGAGAGTAGGAGTCTCGACTTAGGTGGATAATGCACTAGTAGGCATTGAGGAGTGGGTAGTTGTAGTGTTCAGAGTCGTGGTCAAAGGTAAGCCTGGGGTCGGGGAGCCGGGAGAGTTTGAATTGGTGGGGCAATTTGATAAAGGGGCAAGCCTCATTGCCTCTAATATGGGTAATACTACTTCATTACTGGCCACGGGAAGCCTCGACTATGTTGGTGAAATAAACTTAGAAGTTAAAGGATTGTGGGAGAAGAAAAGACCATGCAAAATTAGTTGAGGCAAGGGCTGATACCCAACATAAGGGTGATCCCCTACATCAGCCTCAGTCTCGGTTTCCCCAGTCCCCCCTGTCAACAAGCAAGGGATTGGAGGGTAAATTCTTCATTATTGGCCATGGCGAGTCTGAAATATGTGGGGAAGGTTTACTCCTCAGGGTCCCTTGACAATTAAATTAGGGAATGTTGTGCCCATAGATCCCCTAGGTCGTTCAGCACTTGCACAAAGCCAGCCTTTCATCTTTTCAGCATGGTTCTTAAGGCCTGTTCACACAAGTGGGCATCATCAACAGGCAACTGTAAAGGTGATGTCACAGGCAAGGAAACAAGGAGACTACTTGTTTACTGAGTAGTTTGTCCATGCAATCTCAGTTCTTGCCTGCCTATGTGCCCACCTTTGTGGACAGGCTGTATATACTTTAGGAAGTGGATTGGAGAAGAAAAAGAAAATGAAAAGGGAAAAAGACCGAAAACTTGGGTCTCAGCGTCCATTTC